TCTATCTTTACAAATTATTTTAATGCTGAATTTTATTCACAAAGCTAAGAAACATTACTCAGTAGAATGAGAACACAGATTCAAGATCAAGAAATTTATATAGGATATGACGAATACTCGTGAGGATAGACGCTTTTTGTCTTTGATCTTGCACCCAATCTTTCTGTTGGAGATTTACACTTTAACTTGGTGAATCAGGGAAATGGTAGTTCCTTATCCAACACTATAAATGTTCCCCTCTATGCTGAATTCCAGTCCATTTTAGAAATTGATAAGCCTAGAAACGTCCTAACTAATATTTAATATGCTACGAACACTACAGAAATTTATTGACGCTTACAATATTTGTGTATGCGAAAGAAGCTTGTAAGTGTGTTTGCCAACAAACAACTATCTGACCATACAGAAAAACAGCTTTATATTATCAATTTGGTTTCTTTGTTTGTTTGTGGGAGATGAAGGGAGCATAAAAAGAGGAGGTAAGTATCTGTTGGAAATCTATTTTTAGTGTAGGAAAATGATATCGTGTGATACGATAAATACCTCTTCTCACATATAAAGCTAGAATCCCATATTGAGTAGGTGGAAGGACCGGGGTAACAGCAAGAAGAATAGATTCCCTAAGGAAAGCATCCCCAGAGAATCTAACAATTGTGCGTGGGAATTGCAGGAAAGCACATTGGAGGGGGACCACATCACTTCTGGAATAGGTGTGCCATTCGCCAGTGAAGAAGTGAAGTGTCAGGAAACAGTCAGTATCGAGGACTTAACCAGTAATGGAAAAGCCTCGGAAAACATAGCAGAAAGACTCACCGGAACCCCAACTGTACAGACAATGTTCCACACCCCATCCACGGTATTACAAGGTAGAGGACAGTGCCGAAGAATCAGTAGAGAAGAAATATGGTAACGTGGACCATGAACAATACAGTAGAAACTTGATTAACGGGCACCTTGAAACAATGGGCACCACGCCATTAAGGACAGACCCTTTCAGTTTATCTTTTTTCTACTATTTGTAACCAAAATAGATTTTACAATAACGATCACCTCGATTTTCCGGGTTATATACGGGCACCTAATAAAGCAAGCAGTTATCTTTGTATGCTTGTACAGTATACTACTAATATCCAAACATCCCACCAGAAGGATGACGAATATTCGAACACTTTAGATGTTTATTGGATCGGCTTTGAACCATATACTGTAATAAATGTTTTCACAGATTCAAAGTTCAATCTTTTTACTCTGGCGAATTCTCGTTGCAAACATTGTAGGATACTAAGCTGATAATTTCCACATCGTGTTTTCGGAGCATGGGTCAAGTCGACTTATTTCTGTGCATGTGCTTTATTGCTCTCAAGAGAATAATATTAAAGTGTCATGTAAACAGTCTAATGACACGAGTTGTGATTTGTTGCTTTGTTTTCAGCATGTTTCTAATTCAGTAATTTACAGTAAAATAAACAGAAAATAAATGTAAAATGTTTAGCATTTCAAACTCTGAAGAGAAGTACTTTTAAACTTTGTGGCCAATAATAAAGAAAAAAGGGCACAGCTAATCCAAACCCTCAGACCTCCTGTTGACAACACCCTATGTCATGGCAATGTGCAACTCATAAACACCCATGTCCTGCATTCACCAAATAAAATGAGGGGGTTCAGAAATTTAGTACAGTCAATATAGAATCCAACCCTGCATGGCTCATTTTTTATATTAATGGCACCTTGCTATAAAGGGTATTTGGATGCAGTCAAAAGGATGCCCTTAATGTCGAAGTTAATGTGTATATATACGAATCCCAACCATAAGTAAACAGTGTCATATTGCAAGCAACTGGAATTATAATGATGGAAGTAAGCAAACAGCAATAACTGGACAAACTTCCACATCAACCGTAGG